ACCAGGAAAACAGAGTTAACGATAAAAACGATAACAAAATAACGCTGAAAACCGATAAAAACCCTGAAAACCAGACATTTCACACCTGAGCCTCAACTCTCGCGGCCCGGTACCAAACGACTCACGGACCGGTACCGGTCCGAGGCCCGGGGCTTGGGGACCGCTGGTCTAACCTGAAGCTGAATCACAGCAGCGATGAAAGAGATAATTGGAGAGTGCATTTAGTCTGCAGCAAATCCACCGTCACACTGGGCTTTAGCATAGAAGGAGATGTGTTTAATTCTTTGAGTTTTCATTTGAAATAGAAACTAGCAGCAAAGCAACTTAGATTGATTTAAATATTGAAATTCAGACATCAAGCATGGGTTGTGTCGATTGTCAAAACTCGTCGTCTCACATTTCTTTATAAATTAAGAAACACAGAAATAAAATTGACCAGAAGAAGTTTGGAAGTGAGAGCTGCTGCAGTTTAAACCCTCAATTAGTCTCAAATGAAAACAAATTCCACAGTCAAGTATTGGAAATACTCAGCAAACATGCCAAAAGCAGCTTTTATGTGAATAGATGATGAAATCAAAATGAGGGGGAAAAAAAAAAAAAAACAGCAAGCAAATAAGTGAGAATTCAGCTGAAGGCCCCGAAAGACTCACAACGCTCAGCAGATTTGCAGGTTTCCTGTTCTTCACACATTTATGAGAAGCCAAACATTAGTCTGAGTGAAGACCCAGGCAAAGCTGAAGAGCACAGGTGCAAATAACCTGTGGCCATTTTTACCTGTCTGATTTCAAAGTTCAAGTTGTACTCAGTGTAAGAGGAAACAAGGAACTGGACCTGCGCTGGTCTGATGGAAGAAAACACTGAATTATGACAAAGGTTGACATGACTTTGCGTCGACACTGTGCAGCAGACGGCTCATTTACCCAGGTAGTTCTGGAAACAGTTGCGTGTCTGGTTGGTGTTGGGGAAGCGGGCATCAAACGGAGCCGTCCTGTAGTTCTTGATCTTCTCCTGGACCGCGTCTGACATTTTTCAGCTGCTGGAGGTCTGCACAGGATCAACAGCATGTGAGCAACGCTTAAATGTGATCATGCTGCACACACGGACTACAAGAAAGCATTTATATCCACAAAGTATCCTAATAATAGTCAGTGAGCGCTACTTAAATAATATATCTTTAAGATGCGCTCTTTAACTGCAAACATTTATGCTGTGTGCCGATTTAAACACCATACTACACCGCCATGTGAAACGTGATCCACTGTGGTCTTAAATATGTGTTAAATAATATCAAACAAAAGAGTAACAATACAGCTTGTTCTGCATAAGCAAAACTAACTTCTAATTTGATATTAAGCCCATTTCCCCTGCCAGTAACTGGAAAATAAAACGAGAGTCCTGATGAATCCGTTCATTAACGACGTTATCGATAAAAATAGAAAGTTAAGATTAATCCTGCTCAGCTGTTTGTATAATCTCACACAGCTTTTAAAACTTTTTCACCACAGAACAAAAAAAGCACAAAAACAACTCACAGAGGCTCTAAACTGCGCACACACTTAAAATAAATTATCATCGACTCGCTATTCACGTAGAAACCTTAAGAAAACCGACTTACCGTCGACAAATCAATTCCGTTATAATCCGTGCTCCCGGTGTTCTGACAAAACAGTGCGCTGGCAAAGCATGCTGGGAAAAAACGGCCAAAAAAACCCACACAAAAAATGGCGCCTCCACCAATGTTTGGAAAGGCAGCACTGCCACTTGCTGGACATACAGAGGAGCAACAAGCACAGATTTATTTTAACATAAAGGACTAAAAGAAAGAAGCCATGCTCAAAGTGTAGTTCTTTGCATCAGCACGTCTGTTCTGCTTGATTCTGTATTGTTGACTTTTTCATTTTATGGTCTTTTCCAACTGTTTTTTTAAGCATACCATGATTTTGGTCTTTAATTGCTTGTAAGGTGCCTTTGAGCATCTTGGAATACACATATGAATAAAATCTAAACCATCTCAGTAACCTTGTGTCCAAACTGCTTGACCTGAGCTGGATCTCTGATGTATTCATTTCTAATCCATGCTGGTCACCCCCAATGTAAATCTGAGCATCTCCAGCTTGGCCTCGTGTGCTTTTGTTATTCTCACCACACTCAAATCATACATCGTGTCTCTTGTAAACTTTCCCTTTAACACTCCCTGCTGCTTTTCTGTTACAAATCACCCCTGACACTCACCTCCACCCGCTCTACCCTGTTGCTTTTGTTGGTTGACCCCAAGTGTTTAAATTCACCCACCTCCGCTTGCTCCTTGCAGCTGGACTATTACAACTGTCTTCCTCCTTCACACACATGTATCCTGTCCTGTTCTACTGACTTCCATTCCTCTTCACACAACAAACGTGATAAAATTATGAATATATTAAAATTTGCATTGCTATAAAATTTAAAGATCAAATTGATGGATCAACGCAGAAAATTCCTGAAGCTCCAAATTAGCAGTGAATAGTAATAATAAGCTATAAAATTACCAGGATAAACCTTAGCCTTCTGTGCATAAATTGGGAAGATCTCATATCAGGTTTTATTTGAATTAGTTTGAGTTTGCCCCCCCATAAATAAATAATTGTAGATAGACAGTGGATATAAAAATGAAGCTGAAAAACACAATGAAAGCACAGAAAAACATGGGGGATTTCTTGAGTAAAATGTTTATTTGCTATAAAGCTATTTTGGTGTCAGGTCAGAGAAGCTTGCCTCCTCTCACAGATCGTCCGCAGCTTGTTGGAGCATCTGAAAGTGAACCAGCTCCTGCTGTACACGACCCTCGGGGTGAGTCGACCACACAGATCCACACTGCTTTCACCCGCGTTATCCGGGTCGCGTGCCCAAAACCTGCAACACACACTTTATTCTGTTACCGTGGCAACCGATTCTCTGACATATGATAATGTTCATAATAAAACTCCCACAGTGTTTTAATCCCCTCACAGTAAATCCACAGTGGGAAGACACCGTGGTTAGGTTGCTTAGGAGTGAAATTCTCAGCTGCTTTGCAAATCTCACTTATACATAATCCACAATTACTGATGTGTGATTACCTTTTGTAATCTCACTACAATGTTGTGTTTTACTGAATTCAAGACCAAGACCTCCAGATTCCAGAGTTCTGATCGGGCATGCTCAGTATGTGCCACACAAAGAAAGCCTCAGAGGATCTTATCCCCCAGTGTGGGGAACCACAACACAAAGATATTGTAATAATATTCATCAGGTAGTTTTAATATTGTGGCTGATCCGTTTAAATAGTATATACAAACAGGAAGGGAAAAATGTGATAATATTTTATTCCAACAAATATTTTACTGCTTCTTAAATCTTATGCTTCTTATAATTAACTACTAAATGTTATTTGATTGTGTTGTCATCTTTAAAATTAAGATCAAACTCATATTCCATTATTGTTTTTCATCTGCTCTTTAATTTGAGTATTTTACTTAAATTCTGTTCATCATTGTTGATTCTCAATTGTTTAAATGCACCTGTTATGTTATTATTAATAGCACTATTAATATTATTATTATTATATATATATATTAATACTACTATTCTTACAATTGCTATTAATATTGCTAACATTGTATTATTATTATTTCAACTGCTTTTGAAAAATAACAGACAAATTACTGGATAAAGTAGTTATCGTCTTCTTAAATCCCAAATGGGAGATAACAGGTTAAAGGAATGTGGCAGAATGAGATGGTGAAAACTGCACCAATGAAACCAGCTCCAAACAAGCGCAGCAAATGACAGATGACATTAAAGTGGCTCGGTGTAATTAATGTGAATGTATTTTTATATTTAGACCATGAGGAATGTTTGACTATGAACAGGGACACATACATTTTTAATATCTAGTCCTCTTATAGTTTTGTGTCCTGACAGCTGATCTGGCAAAATGTCCTCAGCCTGAGACAAACTTAAGGAGGAGAGATCAGCACATACTTGCTCTTCACCTTATGAGCCCTGTTTGTCCTGCACCACCTCCTCCTCTTCCTCATGCCTGTCATCATACTCACTGTGGTCCCTTCTCCAGCAGCGAGCCATCGCTCCACTGCCAGCCGCCGTCAGCGCCGCTGCTCCTCAGGCCTACCCAGTATGAGTCCCCCTGACTCAGACTCTGGGCCTTCTCCCACAGGAACTCCTGAAAAACATGTCAAACGTTTCCATTTTGCAGAGAGAAGCCTTAATTTCATTCCTTAAGAACATTCTCTTTACTGTTGATCAATCAAGAACACAAACTGTCTCACATGTACAGTAAAAGAGCGAAACACAAAACCTCATTTGACCTCAAGCACTGGCCGCTCCTGCAGACGTCTCCATATTTCATAGAGGCCTTAAATCTATTCTTAACTTCTCTTCCTGGTGGTATGAATCTGTATGTCAAATAGTGTGTCCAAAAGGTAGGACATATCAGGAAGGGCATGTCAAATATTTACAACTGGACAGAGACTGAATATGTCATTAATGCAGGGAAGAAGATTTGTGAGAGGAGAATGGTTCCAGCAAAGCTAATTTAATATTTATTATGTGCTTAATGAATAAATATAAACTGGAAATGACAGGACAGAGCAGGTGGACAGAGTAGTGTGTGTGTGTGTGTGTGTGTGTGTGTGTGTGTGTGTGTGTGTG